GATGGGTATGATGACTCCTAACCTACCATCAGCTTTGCACTCAACACTGTCCAGCGCTTATTAAAAATGTAAGCTGTAGCACTACTGTCATGACTAGATATCAAGTATCAAGACACAGACAAGAGAATAATGGTGTTTTTCTGCATGCTACAAACTTTTCTTTGCAAAGGAATTAAAGGGAGACACTGAAAAATCATCTACCCTTCTCAAACCACTCAATTAACATGCATGAATCTCCATTCCATCATGTGTTGTACCTTCAGCATAAAAGCAGAAAACCCTTCTGTATTTATGAACTCAGGTTTAGCAGCAGACGACAGCAAATAAACATCTTGCCTACTCTTTTCATACCTCAAAGGAAATTCATGCATCCACTACAGCCAATGGTCTTCTAAGGTAACATATCATTGACAACCTATTGCAACATATGCAGGAACTTTTCCTTTTATTTTAAAATGAATGAATGTATCACAGCTCCCACAGCAGTTTTGCTGATGTGGTAAAACGGTTCACAAGGTGCAACTGTCAGATTGCCACAATCCAAACACAATCCGGCTGCTCACAAGCTAATGACAGCTCTGTGAAGGTGATTCAGGGAAATAGCTTTTTCGTTTTGGAGCTCAACCAATACCAACAACTGTCTTACATTTTTCAACACAATTCGCTGTGGTAACCGTTTCTTGCTTATTTTTCCCCCCCAGAATAATAGCCATAGGCTTGAGAAAGTCACAAAGCAAGCAATTCTTGTTTATATTTCCCTATATTCAGCTGCGTTTCTATAACAGGACAACAGGTTATACCAGCCTATGATACAGTGCACAACTTTCCAATCTCAGCCCTCCGATACTGGTCTTGCCACACAGACTTGCAAATGCTTGCTGATGCTGCTGAGCCGCACAGTGAAGTGTATATTCTGCAGTGGCTTTATCTGTTTAAAAAAAACGCTTTATAGACTCTGATAGCAACATCATCCCCTTTCACAGCAAACACAGGCCTTTATTAAAACTGAATCAAAGTTAAAACTGAATCAGATAGGCAGCTCTTCCTATCTGGGTTCCCCTCTGCTGACACTGACTGGAGAAAGGGGCCAAGGATGGCTCAAGACAATTCTGTTCCTTACAAATTTGCCAGGGAACACTGACAGCCAAAGGACTCATGTGCGATTCCATCATTCTCCTACTCAAAGTAGTTTTTTCTATAGCAACCATATGCATAACTTAAGTGGGATGCACAACGATCAGCCAGCAAGTTCAGGTTTGGGGCCTTCTCAACAGTGCCCACCACCATAACAGTAAATTAAATATTAATGTAGTAAAGGGCATTCAAAGAAGGGTTAGACAAAAAAACTTCTGAAAGTAATACCAATATAAAAAACAAAGAGTATAATTTATACACGGAAAATGGCTAGATCAAAGTCATCACCTCTGAGCCAGTATACCCTGGCGAATAAAGCTATACTAGCAAAACTACCAAGGCAGAGAGCTAGAGTACCCTTCCATAGGAAAACAGTCATTCCCCTCTCCTCACTGTCTTGGATTGTTAAGATGCACAACAAACTGTACAAACAAGGAAGCCCCTACAGCTAAACTGTCTTAAATTGACTGCTGGGAAGTTACAGCTGTCTTCCAACTCTTCCTCCCAAAAATATGCAAAGCTCCCAAAGCATAAACAGCCTCCCACATTAATATATACATTAGAAGAGATCTATAACTAATTATAGCTATCAATTTCAATAGGTTTTACAAAGAAAACATTCGTAGTGGGAATGCAATGATTCAATGTGTAGCTTTATGGATAACTGTGGAGAAAAGTCATCTTTCCCCTTAAGCAAAACAAACTGCAGTAGTGAAAGTGACAGTTCTGTAATTAACTATGCCAAGAAATTTTACTGGTATGGCTGCTTCTGACTAGGAGTCACATCTCCATAATCCAGCTGAAAAATCTAGACCAGCAAATGCCTGGGGTGGCCAGAAAACTCTATAAGCACCTTTTCTGTATCAGAAGCACATAAATCAATTCCAGCTCACCACAGATTTTTTTTTTCAGGAAACCATTTAATTATCCTATCTTTCTTTTTCCCTTTAATCAATCAATGCCAATTCACCATTCAGTGCTAGCACTCCGCTTTAATCTTCCTGGTAGAACAGCAGCACCATGTGACAGCATCAAGACTAGCAGTGTATTTTTCTGAAAACAGTTTAGGGCTAATTCAGAAACAACCTTCTGTAATACACACTCAATTTACAAGAAGTAAACCACAAGAAGCCAGGAAAAGCAATAAGGTGTCTATAGACAAATGTCAGGTCTTCTAGGAAAACTTTACTTCAAGACATTTTAAAATACTGAGAAGTATTAAAACTCATCTCAGCTCCAGTACCATTTGCATGAAAATGAGCTGGCTCAAACTTCTTTGATTATCCTATACAAAAAACATGTGATTGTTTTAGACATTAATTAGAATATAGCATTCTAGAGAACTTAAAAGCTTTCATTGATATTTTTCCTCCAAATGGATGTGTGAACCATGTGCCAAGGAAGATAAATATCAAGTGACTGGAAGTGGCTGGGAGGACAATCAGAGTTAAAATAGAGATATTTTGGGAAATAATGATGCTTTAGCAGGGTCACCTTTGTTTCAGACCCAGAACAAATCAGGCAAAGCAGATTTGAGTACAACTCACAAATATCCACACAAGATAAACACCTTTTCTTTAACTACAAAGGATTCTTCAGACCAAAACAACAATTTGTCTCCTGCTGTAATAAAGAATACCAGGATGACAGAGTTTATGTTCAATAAAATTGCTTAATTAAATCTGGTTTCAAAGCTTGCCTCAAGCAAATTGATTTTCTGTTCTATGTTTCATTGAAATACCAGTACAATACAAGAAGCATCAAGCAACAGCTTGTGTTACCAGCACAAGAGTTCAATTCGTTTATTGGAAAGAACTATAGGTTTACTGGAAAGATTGTGTTTAATGTTTACTTTCTACCTTTTGTGGTATCCGAAATGCTGTTTAGCAAGGCACACATCATGTCTCCTTCAATGTGGTGAGGATTTAGGATGCGAGCTGACCGCTGGGTCATCTTAAATTGAGTTTCCAATTCCAGGAAGCTTTTGTCTCCAGACAGTACAGTGAAAGGAATTTGCTTGGGCAGGTGCTCATCCAAACGACCAGCCTATATGGAAACAAATGTCAAGTGTTGAACTGAGATCATATTTTTTAATATGGGTTGTTTTTAATTTTGGGGTTTCACTAGTTTTTTGTAAGACAGGTCTTCATAGGAAAGCCTTCTACACCAACTTACCTCCGCTTTTATGGTCCGAGGCATGTTATACCGCTGTGAAAAGTATTATTTCAACAATTTGACACTACATTTATTCAATTGGATATGGCTACCAGAACAGTACAGATGGGATATGGAACAAATTCCTAAAAAGGAGCATGTCAGAACCATCTCCACAGAAAACAAGACATCTGTGCAGAGCATTTGAAGAATCATTAAAAAAGTGTAACATAACATACAAACACTGTTGCAAAACATGTTTATATTGCATAATTAAATTCTCAAGTAGTTTTACCTAACTGATAAAGCACTATATTAAGAACACGAGTCCCCATGGCATCCCAGATTCCCATCCTTCACCTGTACCTCTCCCAACCCAAAGCCCTAGTTATACTGAATGGAGGCACTTTGTCAGTCCAACAGGGTCTCTGACACTGGCACCCATTCAACTCCAGCTTAAAGATGGCTTTAGATTTGGGCTAGATGGACAGGACTTACAGTTTCTGTTTCAGGGGGAAAGGCAAGAATTGTGGTGTTTTTATTCTTCACTCCTTAAACAGCCCCCTTCCCCTCCACAACAGACTGATGTCCTATTTGGGCTAACTTTTTTATTCTTATGTAAAGAAAAAAAAAAAGTAAGTAACTTCTCAGCAGGCTGTCTCCACTCAATTCAGTGACAGATTTATCATTCTTTTTAGTGGACATAAAAGTCAGATGAAGAGAATCTAAGAATCTCATCTGTAATTAGCACAACATCACCTGCCACTCTTCTCTGGGTACAGAAACACAACAATAAAGAAAGTGTGCACTAGCTTACATGAACACAGAGAGCAAAGTCTGCTGCTTCTCTTCTGGTACCGCAACGTGGATGAAGAAAGAAACATCCAATCCTCTTAAGATAATTGTAAACTTTGCACTGCACTGGAGGTTTCCAGTTGCTGTATCCTCCTAAACAGTGAAGAAGGGGGAAAAAAACCAAAAACAAAACAGGTATGCCACCATGAACTAAGAATGCAAGAAGGCAAAAGCAAAGATAAATCTGGCTTTAAAGGCAGAATTTATTTTGACCAATGCTAAAATAAAGGCTAAAATAAACATATAGCCAAACAAATAAAACAATTTGGCTAAAATAAACATATAGCCAAAATCCCGAAAGAACCCTTGTTGTGTGGTTAGAAAGCAAAAAAGGAAAAAGTAGCTAGCCTGATCCTATACAAAGCCTCTCATTCAATTTTGCATGAATTTTTCTTCTAACTCTGAAAACTTATCTTCCAGAAATCATGTACGTTTGGACACAAGGATGTATTTTTTCCAGTTTTAAGCACAGTTATGCTTAACATGCAGAAGCAGAGGAGCTCTGGGAATGTAGTACAAGTAATAGAAATGGTTCCCATAGGGAAACCTGTACTAACATAATGCCCAAGATTATTTCCAACACACTCTATAACTGCCTGATACATCACATGTCAGAACTCTTTAAAAAAGAAGATCCAAGAACTGGGGCAAATTAGAGTCCTGATGACCACCTGGATGCAGTCAAGGATAAGCTAAATGAGGCTACAACTGGGGAAAAAAAAGTAAGTGCAGAAATTTTCTCAACAGTATCCTAAAACATGTAGATATTGGCTGAGAAAAATAGTAGGATAATAGAGACAAGCTACATAACAGGCCTGCTACAGATGAAAAGAACACCAGGCTGCAAGGGAAAGGAAAGGAGAAGCAAGTCTCTCAAGGCAAGGGGAAAAAAAAGAGAGGAGCTTGCAGTTACTATGGCAATGTAAAAAGAAAAATAAATGCAAGGACCATTTGAGGGGAGTGAATACAAATTTCATGACATTCCCAATTGTAAGAAATAATGGGGCTGCACTGGGAGGAAAAAAATGTTGCTTTATCTGCCAGGTGATAGAGTGGCTGGATATAAGAAAGGATTTTGAATGGAAAGTGAAAGTAGTCATTGATAGCACTTCATGTGAGAACATGTGAAACTAAGGCTCAAGTAAAGAGGCTAGGAGAATTGTGTATTCTAACCCACCCACCCCAGACTGACAAAGAAGTAAAAGCAATCATCAGTAGATCTCTCCTGGGTTTTTTGGTTTGGTGGGGGTTTTTTGTTGTTTGGTGTGGGTGTGTGTGCCCCTACTCCTTTCAGCCTAATGGCTATAAGATCAAAAAATGATCTCAAAGCTGAAAGATTTAGGGATATCTGTCGATAAGAAAATGGTATTTGCAAGTCTTTCTCATCTGTTGTGACAGCCTTGGTCACTGCTGTTTGGGAAAGACTTGTAATCACCAACCCTGTCTTTTGGCTCCATAAATGTACAACATAAACACTTTGACCAGGACAGCTGAAAACAGTGACAGAATTGTATTTACTCTGGTGGAGCTAGACCACAAATGGGTCATGGACAACTAAATATCTGAAAACAGAAACAATACAGAGCCCTCGCAATACAATCGAGGAACTCAAAGCAAAGCTAAGACTGTATTAGCAATAGGAATAACAGAAATAATGCAAAAGTACCACATAAAAAAGAAAATCAGAAATGTTGTTTAGGAAATGCAGAAAAAAATAATCATAAGAGACAGGGATGTTGCTGTATTTTCACAGGATAAATAAACAAGAGCACGCATCAAATAACTCCAAAACCATTATTTATGAGAAGGCACCTACAACAATAAATCCAGATATGCCTGGGAGTCTTAAGTGTTCCCAGGCTCTGTAACAATATAGTTGACACTAATAAACTGCTAAACTGTTCTCCCATATGAATATGGCCCATTTTAATCACCATTAACTCTTCGGCATGGGTTTTTCAGTTCAGCTGCTCCAGGGGCCACTCCCACGAGGCAGCCTGCATGCAGGAACCCCGTTTGGGAAGCAAGGAAAGTTGAGTGGCACTGACATGGGCTGGGTTGTGCCTGGAGGTGTGCGTGTTTGGAACATCCCTGGGCAAAGTGTCTGAACTAGCCCAGAAGTACCTTTGGGTAAGGTTAATCATATTAAGAGAGGTTCCTAACAATAGATTAGTAACACTGAGACTGTACTATGGATTATTTATCTCTCAGATAGGTCAGAGAAGACACGTTTCTGACAATAATACAGTTCAGACACTCCTTTGTTCAACCAATTTCTTCTTACTGAATCAAAACAGGGCATTTTAACCTTCAAAAATAGTAACAGCACAGAAGACCCTGTCGTAACAAACAAGTTTGGGTCTATTAATGACAAAGCAGTTTTGATTAAATTAAATAGAAAAAATATGACTGAAAGCAAGTATCTGAATTCAAGGGGGGAAAAGTTTGACATAACTGTAAAAATTATCCTTTACTAAATAATTCTTTATACAACCCAGACAGAGTAGCTTTGGACTTTCAATGTCAAACAGGCCTGACATTTCTTCAACTCAGATTCCTAATAGTTTCTTATTTTTATTATTTAACCTTCAGCAATTACAAATCACAACCAAACCCCAAATCACAATAGCCTTAGAAGCCAAGGAGTGCAGAGGTGACATGAAATTTGACCAGAAATCAAGCTGGGCAAAACCTCAAAAAAGATAGTAAGAACAAACAACAGGTTGTTCAGCCATATAGAAGAGATAGTATAAATAAAAGGAGTAGACAGGCAGCAAAGATGAAATAGATATCCAGGACAATTAGGTATAATCTAAATCCCCCAAAATCAGTATTTTCTGTGGTTTCGTGTGCATGCACAAGAACACTGTGACTGTACAGAGAGCCTGAAGTCTAGGTAATGACAGTACAGGTAATGACACAGAAGTAATGCCTGAGCAGAACACAAAACTCAGGAGCATAACCCGCTTTAACAGAGAAGACCAGAAAATTGGTCTCCAGAACTCCTAACAACCAAACATTAGAGTAATAGGTCCAGGAACACAGCTGACTTTGAAGAACTTACACCTCACACTAACAGACATACTTGCTCTGCCTTCATCAGCTAACTGGAATACCCGTTTCTAAGAGACAAGAGGCCTTTCTATCCAACCTCAGCAGCAAGAAAAAGCTCAGCTTTCAGAATGTTCCTGATTATCTTTTAAGGAAGAGATAATCATGAACATTAAAAAAAGTGCAGTGCAATTACTAAGTGTTAAACATGCCCGACAATTCCTACAAGTCTGTTAAGACAATGCCTATGTTTCAGGTAATAAATATTTTGAAACTATCCTTTGTCTAGACTTTACTGAAGTATTCAACGTACCACAGGCAAAATAATTATAATGGTAGATACAGAGAAAATGAGTAGAAAAAAAGCATGAGGTGGACAAGAAATTGGTTCAAGAATAGTCAGGTAAGTTAAAGGGTTGCCATTGGTAGACTTCACAAAAAGTTTTTTTTACAAACCCATAACAATATGCGTTCCATCAATCACCTTGTACCCCTACTGGTATTTACCAGGTGTGAGATACACCTATTGATGTACAGGATGACCAGGGACATCCTTGAGGAGCAAGCCAGAAACAGAACAAAATTCAAGTACCAGAATGTAAAATCACGCCTTTTGGAACTAAAAAGAAAAAGAACATTATGACAAGGACTTAGAGGTTATTTTGTTTCTAACTTCTAAGTATTATGGCTGACCTTATAACTATGAAAACCTAGTATGATACAGCCTAAGTAAGTTCATCAGGGAAGCCAGAAAGACTTCTAAACCACTTAGTAATTCTGGAACAATTTTCTACAGGAACAATAAGAGCAGAGGAGGTTAAGACTGAGTTAGAAAAGTTCAAGAACATTCCTCTCACATGGTGCCTGTGATGCTGTGACTTCAGAAGCCCTAGCGGCTGCTCGTTCCTGTTCTTCATTCTCTCAGATTCAAAGAATCTCTGCTCAAGCATTTGTGTAGACTTGTTAATCTTATCTAACTATTTCCTTCAACCACTTTTTACCTTGAAAGCCCCAGATAAATGTCCCTTGGTTCAGGTTAGCTGGCAGCTGCGTGAATAAGCTTCCCCAGTTGTCCAGATCCACCAACACAATGTGAGTCATGGTACTCAGGTAGTCAAGATCAGGAAGTTCATCATCTTCAATGGGATAAAAAGGATGCATTTAAAGTTCACCTGACTTTCTGGTCAGCCAACATACATCAACCTAGATATGCTTTTGAAAATTAATGTATTCAACTGTTCTACAAGCTAAAACTTATAAAACGTGATCCTATTTGGTGATTGCGTTGTTTTTAAATCAACTGAAGTAGCATTTATAACACACAAATCAAGAGGCAAGAAAGTAGAATCTAGCTATATGATGGTGTAGAGCTGGATAGGTTTGTGGTAGGCACAGAAAGCTGTTGTCCTGCACCAAAACATTTTAATAGTCCACTTAATATTCAACTGTGCACACCCTGCTATGGCACATCTCTGTGACATTTAATCGCTTACATGCACAAACACATGTAAAATATTTAGAGACATACTTTTTGCTGTGTATCCAACATAAATGTCAACCTTTTAATCAAAAGCATTATGACACCATGAGTAATTAAACACACTTCCAATTTTTGAACACAAGGTATACCTTCAGCAATCTTGATGCCATTCTTAGAAGTGACATGACCTTCAAAAAAATATGTATTTGCATACTCAAGGAAAAAAACTAAATACATACAGAGAATGTAAATTCTCAGCTGAAATTATTTTTTGGCAAGCTGAAGGAAACTGAGAAGATGGTGTTATAATAGGACTGTCCACACAGAAAGTACTACCAGGCTCATAAATATCTTTTTATACAAAGAAGGCAAGTTTCTCTTGAATGTGTGTGTATTATAGAACACACATTTCTAGGAGTTACATCTCTGTTTGGGGTCCTTGATTGTCCTCTTCCTTTTAGCACCAAATTATGCTCCCAACTAATTTGAAAATTAAATGTGTCATTCCCAGGGTTCTCACATGTGCCTACTTTTTGGTTTTTAAAGGCTTCATGTATATGGCATATAGCAATAAATTGTTAAGTCCAAGTTCTGGAAACTTCAAATACCAAGAATTCAAAATGCATCTTTGAAAAGTAACAAATATTAAATTCTGAGCTGATTTACAGACTGGACGTTGGTAAATAGTATGCTACATTGTACTGGCATTGAAACACAGTGTGTTAATGACAACAATGTTTTTCTAATGTTAAAAAAAAAAAATTTCTACAAACCTTCACCAGGTTCTTCAGAGTGTGCTAAGTTTTCTTTTTTTGCTTTCTTTCCCTGTATTGGCCCCTGCAGAGGAGAAGACTGTGGTCTTTCCTGAGTCTTGGATGGAGATGCTTGAAATTTTAGCTTGTGAGGTTTTCTGTCGACACAAGCCCCACTTGCTGTGAACTTGAATACCGTGTTTTCCAATTCTGATGCAAGACCTGATAGATCAGGTTTCTGCAAGAAGCAGTGTTTCGTGTGATAGTGCTGATGTGCGCTCTGAAGATCGTCAAAGTTTTTGTTGCATGCAGCACATCTAACAACATACATCTCTTCCTTATGTTTCAGTGATGCGTGACTGCTGAGATGACTGTTCAAATCAGCAAAATTCTGTGCAGTTGCAGAACAGAAGCAGCATCGAAACCATAAGTTTCCTTTTTGCAGCATGGCTTTCTGACAATTTACATAATCATTCCTCCTGTTTATTCTGGAGACGTAAGTTGTCCGGCAACCACAGGTTAAACGGTCTCCTTTTTCTACTGGGAGGAAGTCCTCCTCTTTTTTTATTGATACTTCCATCTGCTCAGGCACAAATGCATAGTCCATGCTATGAATCTCCTTATAATGGATTAGAAATTCTTCTTCTGTGTCAAAGAAGAGATTACCACAAAGGCCACAGAAGTATTTAGTCTGTATCTCCTGGTTATGATGCTCTTGGAAGTGTCGCTGTAGAGTTCCTACTTTCCGAAAGTGATTTCTGCATAAGCCACAGCAGTATCTGTGAAATGCATGGCTTTCTAAGGACATGCAATGTTGTTTAACACTCTCTTCAGATTCAAACATCTCCTCACAAATGCGGCATTGCCATTTTCCCAGAATAGGACCTTTTTCAGGGGAGAGTTCCATAGGACTAGGAATACAGTCTTTCCTTTCACCTGCAGAAATGCATGCTGCATGAGAAGCAGATGGCATAGGTTCATCTTCTAGAGCTTCTTGCTCATAATAATAACTATGTCCACCATGAAATTCAGTCACATGTCCCATAATATCTTCTTCTCTGAGAAGATCTACAGAGCATGCTCTGCACCAGAGAAGAAAATTAGTCAAGTGTGCTCCCCCATGGAATCGACTCATATGCAAGCGGATAATGCTTGAATTTTCAGCAAGCTTTCCACACACAGCACACTTGTGACAGATCCTATTTGCTGATAAAATGTGCTTTTCTACTGACTCTTCTGTAAAAAACTTTTGAAGGCATTCACAAAACCAGGCCTTTATTTTGCAAGCACTACCTTGTACATGATCTTCATTTTTATCTTTTAAATTGCTCTTCCGTTTTGAAGGCGTAGACCCCCTTTCACTGGTAGACTCATTGGAAATGAAATGTCTTTTAAGCAGTGGTCTTGACCGGTCCACAATATGGCACAAGTGAGACTGATTTTTGTTTTTTTCCATTGATGTGACAGAACATCAAGATGGACTCTTCCATTGTAGTAAGAATTTTAATGTTATGTTGAGTGGTTTGCTTATGCTGGGTGATCTCATTCTTATCAGCAAACAGTATATCACAGTTCTCACAGTGACCTTTTGTTTTAAAAATCTCTGCAACTTCGGAGATGCTCTTCTTTGACAGAGCCACAGGCCCAGAATTACGACAACGCGTTCTATAATGGATTAAAAAAAATGAAGAGGTTATGATATAACCTGAAACGTTTTTAAACTTTCAGACACACTGAAATATTACCTACAGAAATATTAGTTACAGCAATTAGTGTGTGGAAAAAGTGTCTGCTATATAACTCATCCACTAGCTTGTCAACAAAACCGTGAAACGCCTATCTAGTCTCTGCACTTTAAAGAGAATTAGGTGCCAATTTCTAAAACTAGCACTTAAATTGGTGCTTATGTTGTTGACTCAGCACATTTTAGAAATCAAATGCTGCCAACTTAGAAAGAGTGGAACAGAGACCAAGTTCTGTTGTTCTGTTACAGAAAGTAACAAAAACGAAACACACATCGATCAGCATTCTGCAGTGGATTGTGTGGGGTAAAGTGGGTAAAAGACATGGAAAGGGGGCAGTTTTCTGATAATTTACTCAGGAAGTCAACATTCAGATGGTCCTAGATGCCCTGAAAGCCACCAGTGCCACTAAGAACACGTCTGCCTATCTGTTATTGATCTATGGACATGCATATTATAAAGACAGCTGTCTCTCACAAACCTGAAATGAGCTGTTAATTCCATATGTGAGCGTAGTATCTGGTAACAGGATATACACTTCACTTGGAAGGGGACCTCTTTGCACAGAGATATCAGAAGGTTCTTTGCATAGGATGGGAAAGGCAAAGGAAGGCCAGCCTTCATTTCATCTATAATATGGAATGGCAGAAAGTGCAACCACACATTAAAGAGTTCTTTCATAGCATTTCAGCTTTCATATGACAGTTACAATTGTACTTGTTTGTCACAGGGTTCACAAGGCAAGTTACCATGTATCAGCTGAGTCACAGTAATTGTGCAATGGAGGCTTTAAGTAAAACAGCTAATTTTTTAAACTCCTGTTAACAATCTCATATCTGAATCTGTTTGCATCTTGCTTTTTCTTACTCAGTGACTGACTCTACTTCCCTTTGCCTCCTCCTACAAGGTTAAGTCAGATACTTCTCTTAGAAAGGTTTTCATTGACCTTCTTCCCCTCCATCTATGACCACCTGTGTACTCTTACTACAAAAACTTTTGCTTAAAGCCATAGTGGGTTTAAAAAAGAAAAAAGTATGCAATTCATTTAACGTGTTCCCACATATTATGACCATCTCTCTCTCTTTCCCATCCTCAATGTTAATTCCCCTTAAATTTTTAGGTGCAGAACTTAGTTTTTCTGCATACATACTCAATGTCTAACTCCAGGTATCAGCAGCATAAAAAAAACTTCTGTTGAAAAGAGAAGAGGAAATGGCTTATGAACTATATATTGCTGTTAACATTATGCATCTTAGGAGGCAAATTATCTTTGAATTTTCTGTTTAGTAAGATGCGATGATCAGGAGGCAGTATTTTGAGGTTATGCCTTTCAACTAACTTCACTGTTAGATCTTACAGACTGTGCCGATAATATTAATCATGAAGACCTACCAATGCAAAAGAAAAAATGGAGCACTTCCCTTTTTTGTTCTGAGCTAAGTGCTATCCATCTCTAAAGAAGAAAACAGTGTTTTGTGCTTTTAATCTTTTCAAAGCAGTAGCTCACCAGTAATCTTTTTTAAAACCTATGGCCTGATTTTAAAGGCATCTACGGTCAGCATATTCAGAATTAATAATCTATTTGAGAAGAAAAGTATATTAGATGTACAATACGTAAGAGAGCTCAGAACTATGCAGCTGATTGTCACTTCCATGAAGACAGCAGTACTGATTCGACCTGCAGGAACGTCCCTTTTTGAAGGGACCTTTTTGTCTGTCTTTATTGTACACTTCCTGCAGCCACTCGGGGAGTGCAGCAGTAGAAGATATAGTTATGAAGATGCTAAATAACTATACCAATCCTTTTGGTCATGCAGGCTTATCCTGAAAGCTACACTATCTAAAATAGGGCAGCTTCTTGAACAAGAAGTCAACTCCATCTATATCTCATCTGCTCAGCCGTTTACCTAACATTAAAGTAAATGCTTTAATGCCTATTGCTTATATCACAGCTAAAAAGTCAGTACACCTATGATGGCCATTAACTCCATTTTCAAGACCATGATCAGACAGATATGTTCTGTGGAATCTAGTAAGTATGGTTCAGAATGTTACCAGCTTACAACATAACCAGTATCTTAGTCTTCAGTAGCAATGTGACTGGTGCAAGGCATCAGACCGGCAGAACTGTTCTAGCTAAGCAGGCTAAATTTGCAATTATATGGAGAAGAAACTTTCACAGGTCTTTTCCATCAGGGATGCCAAGGACACTGACAAGAAAAATAGCCTCCAGCAGATTTCAGACAGTACAGTAAGGGGAAGGGAACATCACAGCCAGTATGACTGGAATTGAAAAAGAAACTTCTATGTTTTGGTCTGAGTTCCTATCAACATGCTAAATGTAAATTTATTTAGGACAGTAGTTGCAGAGTCACTGGAGGATAAGCAGCTTATACGAGAGACGTGACAGCATGGAGATAAAGGAAAGTCTGCTTCTCATTACAGCAACTGTGATGGAGGAATCATTTCTACACAAAAATATTAATTTCAAAGCATCTCCTCTTACAGAACTGTACCACATTTAAGACCTTAAAAGAAAAATAAGAATTCATTGAAACAAACTTAAAAGCCTTCAGCTTTTTCACACAGCAGAAAAATGTAAGTCACTTCATATCATAAGGCTCGATTATCAGATGGAATGAAAAGCAGTACACTTAGTAGCAACATACCACTCAATTTAGAAACCTGAAGGAAGTGGTTCTTTCCTGACATATGCTGCAAGCATTCGTCTCTTTTGGTGAAAAGGAGGAAGCAGTTTGGGCATGCAAAACACTGAATATGCTGTGGAGGGAGATCTTTTTTATGTCCATCATTTTCATTTAGCTGGAAGAAAAAATGGTCTAGTTAGGAAAAATATTAAGTCAAGAAACCAGACCCAGTTCTCCTCATGTTGTTCCATCCCTCTCTCCCTTCTCCGGTAATATTTTCACTTTCAGGTTTTCAGCTACCACATCTATGTTTATCTACAGCCTAACCCTATGCATTTCAGCTCCTGAGACCCAAGGGACTGGCCAAACTACCGCTGTCAAACTCAGCTACTCACCCTTACTACGCTGGTGTCGTGGTTGCCAGTTGCCAGCTGGCAACTCTTCTATTCCCTTTGTGCACCACTGGGAGCAACCACCTTCCTCAGGAACTACGGGCTCCATCAATTCTTAGCTAGTCCCTTTACCCAGGCTCTCAGAAAAAGATCCTTCTGTCACTAAAGCATCTGGTTTTCCTCATGTCAGTTCTTCCCTAATCTTGCTAACCTCCAACTTCTCAAAATGCCGCTACTCAGAGTAGCCTGACTGGCCCATGACTTTTAAAGTCAGCTCCTTGCACCCCTTTTGCCTTCTACATGAACTTCAGATCTCTGCCTTCAGGAGAAAAAAATCCTTCAATTTTGCTTCTGACATTTTTGCCTACTCCTTTCCGACGTCACTCAAACAGTCTTCATGATTTATGGCTTATGCTTTCTTCCACAGCTTTGTTTAGGATTATCTCCCCATCCTCCCACACCAAAATAATCCCACCTTCTTGCCTGCTGCAAGAGCCACTCCCTTTCACCAAATTTGTCTGTAACTCCTGGTAACACCCCTGGACACACCATAGGCACAGAACTTGGAAGCAATGCAAAATATCAGGGGCAAACTATGATGCAATCTTTCAAGCTTGTCAGATATGACTACGCATCAGGAGTTACTACTACTAGCTAAAAGTAGTCTGATTTGCAGAGTGTCTACTTCTGAATTTAACACAGTTTCTGGGGACTAGGTGAGTACACAACAATGTTTGTTATTAAAATACTAAACTTTGAAACTGCTATCCATTATCCAATTCAACACCAGACTGCTTAAATAAAACCATGCACCCTGAAGATAACACCCGAGTATGTCACTAAACTGGGGTCTTAGAGTAGTAAGTTGTGAATGGAAGGGAAAGA